ACACGCACGTCGGCATGGGCTGCGCGATGTCGCCAGTTCACGTGCGAGAGCGACAAGCACATCCAGTGGCGCTTCAAACCAAGGGTCAATTAACGAATGTGCAAGTCAGCAGACAGGGCACAATTGACGAGAGCACGATGGCATGGGAACTCACGGTTCTAGGGGCGTTAGTGGAAGCACTTTCTGTGTAACTTGAGCAGTCTCTTCGAGTTTGTACTCAGCAGTCGTATATTGAGCCATAGGGGAGCCGCTCCTGTGTCCATGTGTTTTGTTGCGTGGTTGTGTTGTGTTGTGTGTGTGTGTGTGTTGCGTGGTTGTGTTGTGTGTGTGTGTGTGTGAAGTGCACACAAGACGTCAGTCCATTCAAAGCAAGCCTTCCCTACTTCAGTTGACGCAGCGCTCAGTCGCAGTCCAGGTCAAGTGCAGTGCTACTTCTTACGTCTGGGTATCGAGGGACGTCTCGCGGGCAAGGCGAACGGGCTCCGCAGCCACAGCAACGCGCATGTGCATCTCCTCCTCTGGCACTGGCGTGGGCGCCGACGTCTTCTTCACCTCGTTGTACACCTCCTTTGCCAGGAAGACAACAAAGGCCACAAGCGACAGCAGCGCAATCACAAAGAAGATGCACGAAACGGCGTAGGATGCACTGCTGCTGTCTGGGTCGTTCTGTTCAGTGAGCGCAACCAGTATGGTAGGCACGAGTTTGGGTGGGAGGTGAATGGTGCGTGTGGGTAAGAAAGACAGAGAGCGATTGTATATGTGTGTGTGTGAGTGAGCGTGTATGTGTGTGAGTGAGTGAGTGAGTGAGTGTGTGAGTGTGTGAGTGTGTGTGTGTGTGTGTGTGTGTGTGTGTGCAGACATGAGGATAAAACAGCGCCAACAGCAGCATGACAATGAACGTGTAACTAATGTGTTTGACGATGTGATGTGACAAGGGAGCGCAAACATGCAGGCCGCAGAGTGAGCGTGCCAGGCAACGCTGACGGACAACAACGAGCCGGCACAATGGAGTCTGGACGCGTACTGCAATGTCGCACACTGTCTAGGACTCAGCACTTGGCATCACTCACGTAGTGGTTGTTGCGGTCTTGATCAAAGAGGTAGGCAATGCCAGCAAGGATTCCAATCATCTTGAGAGCAAACATGATCATGTACGCATAGAGGTACTTGACAGATCCCAGCATGGGCAAGTTGTCCCTGTCATCACAAGAGTTGTGGCAATCATGGAATGGCACATCGAACATCAGGCGCAACAAAGGCCAGGATCAAGTCAGGACAGTTATGTGGCAGAGGGCATAGCACAAATTGAGTGGGTGCACAAGAGTCAGATGGCTGGGTGGATAAACAAGACACAATGTACACAATCGGTCTTGCACACGCTCATGCATCCATAAACGACACACACACACACACACACACACACACACACACACACACACACCACGCGCGCTCGTATCCATACACGGACCTGATGGCCTTGATGGGGTCTTCGCCATCAATTTTCACGGGGGAGTCGGTCATGCTGCCGTAAAATGCGACGAGGTAGAAGGTGCTCAAGATCACGTAGCACACGCAAAGGCCAATCACATCCACGTCCTCCAGGCCAAAGACGCTCCTACCAACGTGCGAAGCAACAGTACATACCGGTGCGCAATATCAACTCACCGCGGACTATGTCGCGTGCACCATCACACGCACAAGCACACACGCACACAAGCACACAAGCACACAAGCACACACACACGCACACAAACACACACACGCACGCAAGCACGCACGCACACAAGCACGCACGCACACAAGCACACACGCACACGCACACAAGCACACACACACACACACCAGAACACGACTGCCAGCGAGTACACGACGACGGCCTGAGAGATGAACAGGAGCCCAAAAGCAAAAAGGGCAAACTTCTTGGCTTGCTTGTGTTGCAGACCACCGACAAGCAAACGCACAGCTGTGATGGGACAAAAACGAGGAGGACCAGTAGCACGTAAATAATGGTCATGATGAATGCACGCAGCTGAGTACATATGGCGGCCAAGGTGATACGGTGCGGCGCACATGCACACATAAATAAAACAACAAAAATCGTTCACTCACGTACACGTGCGTCGACATACACAACCACATGCAACACAGAGTGCACAGCAAACCAACTACAGCTTGTCCCACAGCCCTCTCACGATGGCTTGTTGCTGTAATCTGTGACGATGGAGCAGCACATCCGTCGCGGGCATGTTGTAGATGGGGAATGGGCACATGATACTCATGCCGTGAGATACTTGACATTTAAGGCATCTTTCAATGCAATCAGAGCGACGCAAGCGATTTGACATGCTGTTCGTTGGCAGGGATGCGAACACGGCACACGACACTGCGCTGACCTTGACACTTGGAACGAGGATGAGGAGTGGGCCTGCCAGCATATAGAGGGCACCGAGGGTCAAGCTGGACCGCACCAGCTGCACAACCGGATCCGCAGTGGCAGCGGACTCCATTTCCACAGCGACGGCAACACACTGCATTGGTGTGGAGGCGTGTGCATTTGTGCACATCAAACATGTACTCGTTAGCGCATGTTCGCGCACGTTCATCTCGAGTGTTGCATTTCACACGCGACGAAACGTGCCTTATGTGTACCAACAAGCGTGACGAGGCGTGTCGACACACGAGCATACAGGTTCAACCGCCCTTGGTGAACGGCACGAGGACACGAGACAATGTTGACGCTTCAAATTGATAGATCGACAGACACGAAAACAGACGCACACACGAGTGAGCAAGGGCACGCTACCACAGCCCGAAGTATGCTCAGGCAAACCCCCACACGTGCAACTCCTTGTTGGCGACGTACAATGTAGACGAAGACGTATGCTCCAAAGAGGTAGAGGGCGCACATGATGCGTGGCACAAGCTTGACGGTGTCCATCAGCACTTCAAGGAGCTCCTTCAGGAACATGAACGCGCCTGCGATCAGACCCGCAATGAAAAAGGCACTGGAGCAACAAGAGAGAGAAAGGGGGAGGGGGGTGGGTGGGAGAACAGGGAGCAAAAAAAGAGTGAAACGAGAATCGTGTGTGAGAGAAACTTTTGAAGCAGGGCAACGCTTGGCAATGTGCAACCACACACACACACACACACACACACACACACACACACACACACACACACACACACCGCTGAGGAACAAGTTCCTGCCATTCCACTTGGGGCAGGTTATCTGGGAGAACCGCCGTCATGATTGCAGGCTTGAGGAAGGGAGGGTTGCGAGGAAGGTAGGCGATGAGTGATTGGCCTTTTTCTTTTTTTTCTTTCGGGTTTAGGGTTGAAGGTCAAGGGGTTCAGGCCAAACTGAATTCAGTGTGTCAGACTGAATTCAGTGACATGACGGGAGCATCCACTATCGACACACAAACTGACGCGCACCCAGCACAGGCACAACACCCCCATCGAAGCAGCATGAAGTGCGTGATCCTTGTGGCTGGACATGCGACACGGCTTGAAGCCGAGCTTCGAGCAGACACAAGCGGAAAGTATGCTTCCTTAGTGGGTATCCCGAAAGCGCTGCTGCCTGGACCCGATGGCCGCCCCATCCTGGACCAATGGTGGGCCGCTGTCAACACGGCATCCCACATCTCATCCGACGTCTACCTCGTCACGGTAATGTGTGTGTGCGTGTGTACGTGTGTGCGCGCGTGTGTGCGTGCGTGTGTGCGTGTGTTCGTGCGTGTGTTCGTGCGTGTGTGCGTGCGTGTGTGTGTGCGTGAATGTGTGTGTGTGAATGTGTGTGTGTGCGTGTTTGGTGCTCGACCGACGATTGTCCAATGTAATGATCCATATTCAACCCCCCCTCCTCTCTTCCCCCACACACATACACACACATACACACATAACACGCACACCCTCACAGAATGCGGAAAAGTACAAACATTATGAACGTTGGGCGACAGCCAACGGCTTTCCGCGGCAGAACATCATCAACGATGGCACAACAAGCAGCACGGGCGGCATTGGGGCCATTGCGGATTTGGATTTGGCCATCCGCAGCCGCTCCATTGATGACGACCTGCTCGTCGTCTCAGGTGACATGCTGTTCAACCCAAAGAGCTTCGACCTCGACGGCGTCCTGCAGTACTTCAAGGCACGCGGTGGTGAGCTCTCTTGCTACTACGCCATGCACCCTGGTGAGGATAGCACGTCTCGCGGCATCCTCGAGCTCAACGAAGACCACCAAGTCACCAACTTCTTTGAGAAGCCAAAGCCAGGTGCGTGGTGTGTGATATGTGTGATATGCGAGCGTGTGTGTGTGATGTGATATGTGTATGAAATGTGTGATATGTGTGTTTAGATGTATGCATTCATCTATTGCCTGCACAAGGCTTTTGCGTGGCGAGGGGAAACAGCGGAGCTCCCGATCTTTGTGGCTGTTTGTCTCGTCTTGCTCAAATGTTTGTTTCCTTTCATTCGCGACGCAGGCACGACCACATCTCGGCTTGCGAGCGTGGTGCTGTACTGCTTCAAGCGGGAGACCCTTGGCCTGATCCGCAAGTTTGCTGAGGACGCGGCGACAACGCGGCGGTCGCTCGGCCATCTCATGGAGGCTCTCGTTAAGCAGGTCAGGGGACGTGCATGCGTGTGTGTGTGTGTGTGTGTGTGTGTGTGTGTGTGCGTGCGTGTGTGTGTGTGTGTGTGTGTGTGTGTGTGTGTGTGTGTGTGTGTTGTGTGTGTGTGTGTGTGTGTTGTGTGTGTGTGTGTGAAGACAGGATACGTCGATAGCTCTTGGCTGTTTGGCTGTCTGGGTGTCCTTGCGTACTGCGGACGGTCTTCTGCACCATGTCGTGTCGCATGTTTTAACTCACAACTGCATGTATGCCTTTCTCTGCCACGGTAGACACCTGTGTATGGCATGAAGCTCCCGGACCACTTTGGCCTGATTGGCGCCGTTGGCGTGAAGGAATACCACCAGTGCCTGCAGGCAGCACAGGCAGAGCGAAGCGGGCGAAGTGTCGGCCCCATTGTCCGCCGCGCGTATGCACGTGTCGGGTTGATGGGGAACCCAAGCGACGGCTTCTTTGGCAAGACCATCAGCCTTGCCATTCGGAACTACTGGGCACAGGCCACCATCACCCCAAACGACACCTTGGTTGGTCAGTGTGTGTTCTTGTTGTGTGTGTGGTTGTGTTGGTGTTGTACGTAGGCGCGTGTGTGCGTGCGTGTGCGTGTTTGTGTGTTCCCACCTGTGCAATTGCCCTCCACTCTTCACGCACACACACGCACGCACACACACGCACGCACACTGTGGCTGTGACCACCAGCGACGATCACATTCTACAGTGCACGTTCAACTCCTTCAACTCAGCCCAGCTCGTTTTGCCTGTGCCACTTGTGCTGCTCCCAACTGCAAACAGGTGCTTGAGCCACACCCCCTGAACGATCCGACCGAATTTGGCTCGCTCGCTGATCTCTGCGGCATTAGCAAGAAGGAGGGCTACCAGGGCGGCCTTCGCCTCATGCAGGTGGCGTCGTGGCGGTGATGTTGTTGGTGCGGTGATGCGAGGACGCGCATCGTAGCAGTTGCACTGTGGCCAACGTGCTTTCAATGTGTCCGTCGCAGTGTTTTGGTCCCTCTCGCCTTTGTGCTCACATACATCCATACGCACACACGCACGTACACACGCACACATACACATCCACACACATACATATGCGCACACATGCACACACATGCACACGTATGCCTGCAGGCAACGTGCAAAAAGTTCTTTGAGTTTTGTTCGGAGCGCGGCATCGCCATTGCTCGCAGGAACTTCAGGCTCAAATATGACACCAATATCCCACGACAGGTGGCGCACCTGCTCGGCTGTGCTGCTGTTCTCCTGAACTGAAGATGGCTTTTGGGTATTGTTTGCTGCGTGTAGCAACTACAGCAGGACGCGAACTCCCTGACGGCTCCTGTCTTTGCTTGCTTGCATGCTTTGTTTTGCTTTCATGCTTGCTTGTACGCACATGCTCATTACCAGCCTCATTGCTGCGTGTTCATGTGTATGTGTATGTGTATGTGTACATGTGTGCAGGTTGGACTTGCGGGCAGCTCCGCCATTTGCACTGCCGTGCTGAAATGCCTTGTCGCCTTCTTCAACCTGACGCAAGAGGATTTCCCGCTGCCAGTTCAGGTGCCAAATGTTGCTTGCATGCACGGTTCCAGCAGCTGTTGCGTTGCTTGTGCATGCTTGTACCAAATGTTGAATTGCCTACATTTGCTGCTCAGGTGCAGACTGAAGAGTAGCAAGGGCTTGCGGATATACACACCCCACTAACTTTGTTTCCAGCCCTCACAACCAAAGCACCACCACCGACCTCTCACGTGCACCACCTCAAGGCCAACTTTGTGCTGAGTGTGGAGACGCAAGAGCTTGGCATCAATGCAGGCCTGCAGGACCGCGTAATTCAGGCGTACAACGGGTGTGTGTACATGGACTTTTCAAAGGAGATTATGGACGCGCAAGGGTACGGCCACTACGAGCAGCTCCCCGTCAGCAAGGTTGGTTGATGAGGCGATGACGGTGGTGGTGGCACGTGCGTCGTGGTGGTGGTGGTGGTGCTGTTCTGTTTGATGTGCCACACATCACACACGACAACTGACCTGTGCTCCTTTCCACCCACACCCTCACCCACACCCTCACCCACACCCTCACCCACACCCTCACCCACACCCTCACTAACTCGCCCACCCTGCCACCAGCTTCCCCAGTTCTGGCTCGGGTACTTGGCGGACCCGAGCGACTCTGGGAAGATTCACAGCAACATTCGCCAGCGCTACAACAGCGGCGAAGAGGCCGTCGTCAGGTAAGCGTGGACAAATGGGTGGTAGGGCGGTGGCGGTGTTGCGGGTACAGGTTGGTTGGTGAGTGGAGGTGACAAAGGGCATGTTGGTCGACGCAACGCTTCTTGTGTGTAATTGCAGCCACCAATACATGTGTATGCTTACTCACGTGACACACACACACGCGCACACATACACACACACGCACACTCACTCACTTGCACATTGACAGTGGGATGCAGCAGTTTGCTGCGTTTACGGACGCGGCACGAGCAGCGATTCTGAGCGGACAGCACAACACCCTCGCAGATCTCATGGACAAGAACTTCGAGTGGGTGAACTCGCCAGTGTTGCAGGGGGGAAGTGTAGGGTGGGGTGGTGAGGATGATCGTGGTGGTTGCAACGCGTTGTTGGAGAAACCAGATGAAGAAGTTGAGAGCGTGTGTTTCGGCAAGTGCACGTCAGTGTTCGTTGTTGGTGGTGTGGTGCGGTTGTGCGGCATTCCCACCCATGCGCGCACTCACACGCACTTGACCTCCGTACTGTGCAATTGCACGATCATGCGTGCATGTGTGTCATGGCCTCCCCTGCCTCTCAGCCTGCGTCGGCAGCTGTACGGAGACGAGTGTCTTGGCGAAGCGAACCTGAAGATGGTCGCAATTGCCCGCAAGCACAACTCGGTGTGTGTGTGTGTCTGTGTGTGTATGTGTGTGTGTGTGTGTGTTTACGATGTGTACATGTCGTGTGCGTGTGTGTGTGTGTGTGTGTGTGCAAAGGTTTAGGAGGGTCAACATGTGCAGCTTGGTCTGTTATGCCTTCGCATTGTTCATCTCACATCAGCAACCTCTTTGATCATGGCCCGTGACATTGCCGTGCAACCATACGCTTCGCCAGGCCGTGAAGTTTCCTGGCAGCGGCGGTGCCGTCGTTGGACTCTGCAGGAATTCAGGTCTGCGCTTGCTCCTGTCATCTTGCCGAGCGTTTTTGGCGCATGTGATGGCAGAGGCGTCTTGTTGCGCAACCATCATTCACGTTCTCATGCCTCACATGCACCCACACCCACACACCAACACCCCCCCCCCTCTCTCTCTCTCTCTCTCTCTCTCTCTCTCTCTCTCTCTCTCTCTCTCTCTCTGTCTCTCTCTCTGTCTCTCTCTCTCACACACACACACACACACACACACACACACACACACACACACACACACAAACACACAAACACACACACACACACACCAACAGAGTCGATGCGTGCGCTGCAAGAGGAATTTGAGGCGAACAACTTCGTGTTTGTGAAAGTGATTCCACGTGGCCAGGATGAACCACACGAGTGATGTGATGGACGGACACGACCCGGCAGGTTACAGCAGTAGTTGCGTTTTCTCCGCACTTTTCTTTTTTCGACTGCGGTGTACACTTGCCATCGCCCACTGCCGTGTTACAGCATGTTCTCTCCGGTTACAATGAAGCCCTTTTTCGTCGTGGGAACATTTGAAACAACAACGCGGAATGTAACAACAATTGTGCAGTGTCGTGATTGCACCACGCCTCTGCTCTTTGCTCTCTCTCCTCTCTGTTCCGATGCTTTCTCATGCTGGCCTGTCGTCACGAACGGTCCTCCCCTCTCTCACCTACCATTTGCCACCACCACGGCAAGTACACCAGCAACACGACCAGTTCAACACACACACACACACACACACACACGCCACCAGGATTGTCACCTCTGTCATGAGCTGTCGCCCTCACTGCTGCCCTGTGCGTCATCAAAGACAGCGATGCCGGGGCAGCTGCCGTTGATGTAACTGTACACCACCTGTGGTAACAGCGAGGGGGAGGAAGAGCAGATGTGAATGAAGAGAAGTGGTAAAGAAGATGAGATGGAAGATTGGACAGTGGCGAAGGTGTCAGCAAACGAAGGAAGTGCAGATAGAGGGCAGAGAGTGAACTGTCCATGTGCAGAGAGGATAGAACTGTGCATAGGCGTATACACACGCACACACACACTCACTCACACTCACACACAGACATCACAGCGCACCTTTGGCATGTCAAAGTGCTTCATGACGGCACGAAGAAGACACAACTTCGGCACGACAAGCTGCGGCTCTGCATACCCGCGCCTGTGTTGTGACCAAACCACGGCGATAGTGTGGTTTGTGATGATGTGAAATGTGATGGTTTTGCGGTGTGAGACAGGGCAGGTCGTGTGCTGATCGACGAAAGACAGCAGGCACGTGTCATCCTTACATGAACACGCTTGCAATCACATGTACATACAAGCAAATGCAGACACGCGCACGTGTGTAAACACGTTCAGGCGTACTCTTGGAAGGTTGATGTTGGGAGATTGGCGACCAGATCCAGTGCACGGTCCATGTCAGCCTGGCTAAACGCGTTTTGTTCCAGTGTTTTTGCCGCAATGGCAAAGATGCTGGACTCTTCTCCAAACGACATGATCGTGGCGCCTATCACAACCCATGCAGCAACATGGAACAGGCTGTCAGCACACTCTTCAACGCACAAATGCACATGTCAACATCAAGTACGTGCGCATGTGTGTGTGTATGTATGTATGTGTGTGTCTGTATGTGCGTGTGTGTGTGTGTGTGTGTGTATGTGTGTGTGTGTGTGTGTGTGTGCACCTGGCGTCTGCTGGCGTGCGGCATCAAATCGGCCTGCGAGGAGCGGCGATGGCGGGGGGAGAGACGCGGATATGTGATCGACAACGCGCGTCATCTCATCGCGCGTGACGGGGTGCGGATCCGATGTGTCTGCCGTCAACCGCTCTTGTCCTCTGCACACAACACAGAGGTGTGTGTTGTGTGTGTGCGTTTTGCATTGTGTGTGTGTGTGTGTGTGTTTTGCGTTGTGTGTGTGCGTTTTGTGTTGTGTGTACACGCGGGGACCACAGGGAACGATAGAAGGACAAGCTCAGTAATGGCTTGACGCAGCAGCGTCGTGCATGCATGAAGGAATCAGGGGGTTGAGATGAGAAAGATACCTGACGGAGCACATGAGCGCCTCCAGCGCTGGGATGGTGCCCCACTGGCCCTCAAACACTTCAACATCTGACATTGCAGCAAACCAGGCAGCAATCGCCAGCACAAAATGGAAATGAACAACTTGACGACGGTCGGAAAACTTCACACATGCACACTCACTGCGGGAAGCGCACACAACTGCAAAGCATGCAAGGGTACATACACATGATGACACTCACTCACACACACTCATTCACACACACACACACTCACACACACTCACTCACTCACTCACTCACTCACTCACTCACTCACTCACTCACTCACTCACTCACACACACACACTTGGGATTGGTCCGGTTGCGTCTGGCTTGGCAACGGTGATCTGGAAACTGGCAGCGCCGCTGTCATACGCAATCACGTGGTCAACTACACAGCAACACGCACACACACATACACACATTCATATATTCGTGTGAAGGCAGGAAATCACAACACACACACGCACACACACACACACGCACACACACGCACACACACACGCACACACACACGCACACACACACATGAGCCACGCCCACAAGTGCAGCAAGTCAAGCTCTTACGCGGTGTGGATGCTGGCATGGCGGACTTAGCGGAGAGGAAGCCGACCTTGCCTTCGACTGCTTGCGATATGACGCGCACATCCATTCCCAGTTCTCGTTTCACCCGGTCCAAAAACGCGGGGCCATTCTCAGCCTTGCGAAACACCTGTTGGCGCGGCGACAGTGAGTGGATTGGAGCTGTGTTCCGTGTGAGAGGAGCTGCGTGAAGGGAATGTCCACGAGAAGATAGACCTGCCACTCTCATTGAAACCAATCATATATGTGCTTGTGTGTGTTTGCTTGCTTGTTTGTGCATGGGTGTGTTTGTTGCTTGCTTGTTTGTTTGCTTGCTTGCTTGTTTGTTTGTTTGCTTGTACATGTGGGTGTGTGCAAAGACGCTACTGCATACGCAATGCGCTCATACAAGTGCAAGGTTCTTGCCTGTGTTGCGGCCCCGCTGATGCGCTGAGCCCCGAGCTCCGTCGCGGTTTTCTTTTTGCATCGTTCACAAAAGCCGAATGTTGGCACAAATCAAGAAACACAAGTAGCAGGTCACACAGAGTGACGTGAGCGATTGTGTGAATATAAACTCCACCCACACGCACACGCACACACACATGCAGCCACGCACGCACATGTACACACAGCGAGTCTGTTATACCTTGAAGTCTTTGAGGACCGTCATGCCGTGTGTGGTAATCTTGTCGCTCAGGTTCTTATGCCCGTTCATGGCATAGTCATGTGCAAAGAACACTTCTCGCTGGATGGTGGTCATGCACACACACACACACATAAGTGCCAGGTGAGCTTCAGAACAGAAATGCCTTGTGCGTGTGTGTGTGTGTGTTTGTGTGATTATGTGTGTGTGTACGTGTGTGTATTTGTGTAAGTCCGGCTTTACAGCATCGTACTGTGAGCGTGCTTCCTTGTTTGGGCCAAGACCATCTGCTGTTGTGGACATGGGACCCAGCACCGCATCAGCACGTTCATACGTACGTGCTCGGAGAACAACGTCTCCACGACGGCTCCGCCCTTGAGCACGACCACATCCATCTTTGTTCGGCCTGCAGCAATACCACGCACACACACACACACAGCAAAGGCATGAGCATGCAGAAGCAGCATGTGACACACAGAGACAGGCAAGCTTGAGGGCACTCGTGTTCAAACACACACACACACACACACAGCAAAGGCATGCGCATGCAGAAGTAGCATGTGACACACAGAAACAGGCAAGCTTGAGGGCACTCGTGTTCAAACACACACACACACACGCACACACACACACACACACACACACACACACACACACACACACACACACCTGAGCCAATGTCCAGTGCTGCCACTATCCTCCGTTGCGCCATTTGTGGTGGTGGTTGTAGAAAAGTCGTGGAAATGTTCGGATGATTTTCTGGCACCACACACGGACACAACACCAACCGCAGCAGCCAGCACCATCATGCAGGAAGGTAGTGGTGCAGAGCACGATGCAGCTGTGGCACGGACAGCAGCGATGGGGTTGGTTGAGGAGATGCCGGGAGAACTGACAGGAACGGAGGATTCGGAGGGCCCAAGATTGCGGAGGCGTAGCCGCACAAACAGTGATCACAGCCCGCACGTGGTGTACACCACACCAAGGTCGTGCGAGCGGGTGTATGCAACCCAGCGCAGCACGCTGCGCATGCACGAGAACCGGATGGCTCAGATTGTGGATATGCCGCGCAAGTCCTCGAAATCATCCAGAAAAGGCAACCAAGCTGCAAAGGACAAAGGCAAGCGCAAGAGCGCAGGCAAGAAGCGAGACCAGAAGACCAAGTCCATGACCAAGCGGCAGTTCCCGGCCATGGACAACATCAGCCCCGTGGCCACCGCCGACGAAGCAGAGGAGCCGCGCCGCCCTCCTTCGTCTCGCTCAAAGTCAGTGCCTGTGAATGTCAATGGCTGTGGTTGTCAGCGCCCGTGACTGTGACTGTCAGTGGCTGTACTCGTGTTATTACATTACATCTTTCTGCCGTTTTGTCTTGGTGCGTCCCTTCTCGAAACGCACCTCAGCTCTCACCATGGGTTGGTTTCAGTCTGCCTCGTGTATGTGTGTGTGTGTGTATGTGTGTGTGTGTGTGTGTGTGTGTGTGTGTGTGTGTGTGTGTGTGTGTGTGTGTGTGTGTGTGTGTGTGTGTGGGATCCGCCATTTGTGGCATGTCACCTCACCTTGGCTTTTTTTTGTGTGCTTTTGTGTTGCTGCGTTCACCTCTCTGCACAGTTCAAGGGCCGCGACAGATGGCTACGTGATCAGCACGGAGGAGCTGTTTCGACGAATGAAATGGGCTGCGCGCCTCATTCCAAAAGTACACTGCAGTTTGATATTGTTGTTGCGTTGACCGTGTCACGTGTGATATGTCATTGCCTGACGCACACGTGACGGCGTTCACATCCTTCCTTCTCTGTGTTACATCGCGTTGCTTGTTTGGTCATCCATCTGCTTGCTTGTTGCTTGCTTGTATCTGCCTCCCCCTCTCTCCCCTCGCGCGTCCTGCAGGCGTCCACGCGATTCTCTGAGCGGCGGCCGATCGAGCACGTGGATATGGCCGCACTCCGCCTCGAACTCGTCAACAAACTCCACAACTCACCACACAGAACAAGTGCGTGTGTTGACGTGTTGATGTGTGGTTGTGTGCTGGGCTTGTGCTGGGCTTGCGCTGTGAATGCCGTGTGTGTTGTGCTAAACGCCACCCCTGGCTGAAACCACCCCCCCCCCCAACGAAGAACCTAACCACGACACCCGCCACTACCCTTCACCCCCTTTCCAACACACGCACACACGCACACGCACACGTCTCGTTTCGCCATCCATCGCACGCTGCTTGCAGCTGGCGACCTTGACTTTGCCTCGTACACGTGCTCGGGCCATCAGACGGAGGGATCGCGCGAGCGGAACCTCGCATCCTTCAAGAGCTACCTCTCCCAACTCATCAAGGTGAAAGCGTATGAGTGTTTTGCATGCACACGTGGTGTAGGGGGGGGGTTTCTTGAATCCATGCTTGAGAACCCCTTTGCAATCACGGCCTCACCCTACATCTACATCACGCACACACACCACATCCACATACGCATATGCACATATCAACACGTGCATGCACTCATACCACGTGCTCACGTCCATCTGTTGTAACACCCACTACCGTTGCGCAATGCAGCAAGTGTGCGCGTTCCAATTTGAAGCCAGCGCCGCCAGCCTGTGGCAGGAAGACGGCTATGAACACCTCCTCTACAGCCAGCAGCAACTTGCGTCCGTGCTGTGCGACCTGGACAAGGCGAATAACACGTTTGGCCTGCTATTCCCGAGCGAGCACGTGCCAGAGTCGTTCCCAGGCCGCATGCTCGTCCTGCCGGCCGCTGAACAGGAGATGGACGCGATCATCAGTGACGACGACGGCGATGATGCCGCTGCCTACACCACAACGCCGTCACCACAACACCCGCAACAGAACCTGCACCACCACTACCTTGCGCTGTCCCCGTTTGGCACGTCACCAGCCGGAACAGCGGCGGCGACCACGGCTGTGACACGTACGCCCTCCAACGAGGCCGGCGCCCCACATACCGCCGCTGCCATGCGTGGAGGGATGTTTGGTCCGCTCTCCCACGTGGCATCATCAAACGCGGACTCGAATGCCGGCGACGCAGAGCACCCGTTTGATTTCGAGAGCCAGTGGGATCGCTTTATGCAATACTGCAAAGAGCGCATTCCAAACGCAAACGCAAACGCAAACGGCAGCAGGCGCCAATCGCGTTTAGATGGTGGTGACGTCACAACTGGCATTCAGGGCCTGCGCGACCAACTGGAGGACAGGTGCAGTGGCTGTGTTGTGTGTATGTGTGTGTGGTGTGTGTGGTGTGTGTGTGTGTGTGTGTGTTTGTGTGCGTCGCACGTGTGGCATCACCTCCACCGCTGCCGTCGGCCCCACCATCGCAAACGTCTCATTCCACTCTCTCTCCCCTCGCCAAACCTTCCTTTCCCATGTCCAGGATGAACGCGATGAACTGCTTCCACAACTGCCTGCGTCTGCTCCTTCAGACCGGCAGCGTGTTTGCCAGCACTGCACCTGCCGAGACGCCACCACTCGCAAACTGGTCAACCGTCATCTACTCCCTCGCCAGCGCTGAGGGTACCCGCACGCATGAGTTGTGTTGTGTTGTATGTGTTGTGTTGATGTTTGTGAAGTTTGAATGTGTTGTGTAACTTGGTTGTGTGTTCCATGACGAGTTGTTCCAAGAATTCATTGCACACATGCCTCTCTCCTTTGGTGTCCTGATACAATGTGCAGTTGTCTGCCTCGACAAGGACTCCTCACTGCCGAGCGAACTACCAATTGGGTGTGTGTTGTGTTGTGTTGTGTTGTGTTGTGTTTGTGTTGTGTTGTGTTTGTGTTGTGTTTGTGTTGTGTTTGTGTTGTGTTTGTGTTGTGTTGTGTTGTGTGTGTGTGTGTGTTGACTGCCCGTGTTTCTCACGTCCAGAGTCGCGCAAAGTATTCGCTCATGCACATCTTTCACACATGTACGCGTACGTGCACACATCGACACAATTTATGGTGATCAGGTCGACAGTGCTGTTTCGGCTTCCATCCATCCACGCCCCGCACCCGCACCCAACGTTCCACATTGAGCTCGCAAAGGTGGACTCGGCGCCATCGCCGCCATCATCGCGCGTGTCGTCGTCATTGCCATCACGATCTCCGTCGTCCACAGCAGCAACGGGAGCACATCGGTTCGGTGGCAGCACACGCACGACAGCAGCGCCGCAGTCAACAGCAGCAGCAGCAGCAGCACAATCGCACGATGTGCTGGTGTCAGCGTCATCATCGTCAACAACCACAACAACGATGACAACGATGACGACGACCACCACCACGACCACGACCACCACATCCACGCTGCCGCCCGTCGCAATCAACAACGGGGCGGATCGCGGGACCATTGCCTGCTTCCTGCCAGTGACGGATGCAGAGGCAAACACTCTGCTCATCACCTGCCACAGCTCGCACACACACGCGCACACACACGCGCACACACGCGCGCACACGTGGGTGGTGCCACTGCGCTGGGCTACAGGCACAGGCGACCGCGATGGCAGCAACATAAGCGGTGGTTCATCCTTTGTCGCTGATGGCGACACGACGGCGCTGCGTCATGTGGGTCGTGGCGATGATGATGGTGATGATGGTGGTGATGATGGCGGCGATGGTGTTGGTGGTGATGATGGTGGTGGTGATGGCGGTGGTGAAGGTGATGATGTGTTCCAGGATGACCAATTCGTCATCAGTCGTCGCAGTAGCAGCGGTGGACGCTCTATTGGTGGCGCTGTGGACCGAACGTCCAGTTTCCCGTCTGCAGAGAGCGTAGACGACAGCGAGGACGAGGACGAGAACGTGCGCGTGTCCATGGACGATGATGACGATGATGGTGATGATGATGATGATGGTGATGATGATGAAGGTGATGATGATGAACGTGGTGACGGGGATGAAGAGGAGGAAGAAAGAGGTAGTCACGGTGGTGAAGCCGCAAGTCAGCAGCACCATGGTGCTGGAAGTGGTGAACACGCGAGAGGTGCTGATGACAACAACTCCACACACCACCACCAGCAGCACCAGCAGCACCAGCAGCACCAGCAGCACCAGCAGCACCAGCAGCACCAGCAGCACCAGCAGCGCGTGGGCCTGCGTCACAGCGAGAGTGGAAGTGCCAATGCTCTTGGAGCGCGGGAATCAAGCATCCTTGTTCCTGATTTTGCCCCAATGCCAGAGGACACAAACGAGGCCATGCAGGCGGTGATCGGGCGCATTACGCAATGCAAGAAGGCCTGTCACTCCACCATCATGCAATTTGCTGACGTCACGGACACGGACCGCGTGCTGCAGCTGTGGACCAACCTGAACCTTGCGCACACGCTGCTGAGCGCGCCGAGCCTGCAGCCCATGCTGGAGTACGTGTTGCACGTGCCGCTGCTGGTCGCGACCACGGCGACTGCGGATGTGTTGGAGCAGGAGGATGAAGGGATGCAGGGTCCACACGCCCTATACAACGTGGAGAAGAAAATTGAACGCATCAAGGCACTTCTTGTCACGCTCAGCGAACTCAGGGTCAGGGGACGTGTGTGTGTGTGTGTGTGTATGTGTGTGTGTGTGTGTTCGTGCGTGCGTGTGTGTGTGCGTGCGTGCGTGTGTGTGTGTGTGTATGTGTGTGTGCGTGCGTGTGTGTGTGTGTGTGTTGTGGGCTGTGTGTTGAGTTGCGGGGTGTTGTGTTGTGTTCGAGGAACCCGCACTTTACCACTCATCTCAGTCTGATCTCCACTCACCTTGCTTCTTCCTCTCGTCCTTCTTCGCTGCGTGCGCGATTAGAATGACTTTATTGTGTTCAAGCGGCGCCTGCAAACAATGCAGGACTTCATCTTCGGTTCCTCGTCTCGCTCACGCCGCGAAACAGGTGATGTGATGGCCTGAGCTGTTGAGCTGTTTGGCTGGTGCTTGGTCAGTTGAGTGCTTCTGGATCGCTGATTGGTTGATTGTGCTGTTTGATTCAGGGGTGTGATGTGATGTGATGTGACTACATATGAAGTCATATTTTTTCCACTCGTGAATATTTCTGCTATAATCGCAAAAGTGCACGTATTTTTGCGTCACAATCCCAAACATGTACAAGCGCGCAAATGCCCTCATGCATGTCATGCCATTTCATCCCATTCCATGTGCACATGTCGCCCCTGTCGTGCAGACAATTTACGGCTGCTGCTGCGCGCCATCAAGACGGAATTCTTCACCAGCATCAGCCGCGTGCGCCGGGTGAGGGCAGCGGTTTCAATACAAACAGTGCTGGTCGAGGGTTGAAGTTGCACGTCTGTTCTGTGGTCGCAGCTGTTCATCTCCTCTCTCAGTGGCAGACACATTCACCCACACGATGTCACCAACAATCACCCGTTCCGACGTCAATCATCCGTTCCGATATCAATCACTCATTCCAATGTTCTCCTTTCTATGCATGCATTCATGTGTGTGTGTGAGCAGAAATATCACGATCTGAAGGCACACGAGGCAGCGGCGCTGTGCAGGACAATGACGATTGATGATGCGCCATATTGCATCGACCGCATTCTTCAGCGTCACGTCAGTTCCGACACACCGAGACACGTGCACGCAGACATACAGTCGTGCTGGTGGTGTTGGCGGTGCTGTGTTTGCAGTGACGGTGCACATGTGCTCATGCCCTAACTCCCTGACCATGACGATTCATGGTGGATGTTCTGTGCTGCGATCCCCCCTATTGCTCTGTTTGTTGCAGTGGGACTGGCTGGAGAGCGATGCGCACACGGTGCAGCACACACTGTTCAACATGTGCGAACGTTTTCTTGATGTTGCACAGCGGCTGATGGAGCTAACGCAGTTTTACTTTGATGACCTGAAGAGCGATACGCAGCGGCAGCAACCACAGCACATGCGGGAGGTGAGTTGGGTGGGGTCGAAGTTTTGCTTGTTGGAGTGTGCATGCATGTTGGTGGCAGTCAGATGTTCTTGCTTTCTTGCCTGCCCATCACAAACAGCAAACATCACAACTGCGTGTCGAGCATTTAATCTGTCCCCCACTTGTCACTTCCACCATCATCATCACCACATCTCACCACCACCAATATCACCACCATCCCTTCCACCACCACCACCAGCGCGCCCTCAATCTCGGCAACTCCATCCAGCGCCTGGTCCATTTCGCCACCCGCGTCGTCCACGTTCTCGAACTTCGCCGCGTGTTCTGCATCTCAACCACAAAGGCCGCCCTGCACACCGCTCTCGGTACGGTGTACGTGTGTGTGTGTGTGTGTGTGCTTGTATGTGTGTGTGTGTGTGTGTGCTTGTATGTGTGTGTGTGTGTGCTTGTGTGTGTGTGCTTGTAATGTTGCGCTGTGCTGTGCCAGTGCGCTCTTGTTCGGCTGTGACTGTGTGCTTGCTGACCAGGCGTTTCTCAGCCGCGACTACACATGCACACACATGCACACATGCAAACCCTCCCTCCTTCTTCATGTGTGTATCGTCAGAGCGGGCTGGATTCCGGAAGGCGGACGTGGGCGCTGCTGATGGTGGTGTGTGGATGCATCACAACCCGCAGCGCGAATGGTCAAGGGAACACGAACTCTTCCACTACAGAGAGTGCGTTGCAAGCGTGTGTGTTTGTGCGTGTGAGAGTGAGAGAGTGAGTGTGTGAGTGTGTGTGCCTGATGTACACTCACGCCATCACACGCCATCACACAACAAAACAATCATCTTTCTGTAGGCACTGGCTGCTGCGTCCGTCGTTCCGCAAGGGCCAGAGCTGGGCTGGCGAGCCCGTGCATGGAGACGACAGCTTCCGTGCAACAACCGCCACCGCAGGCCATGATGACACACCCGTCATTGTTGAAGTGTCGCAACACGACAACGCCCCCATCAGCCGTCACGGCTCTGTCCCGCGCACATTCAGCACTTCATCTGTACGTGCAAGCACACTGCTGTTGTGTGGGAGCAGGGGTTGGCGTAACACGATCATGGCGGCGCAGCGCAGCTCGTGTATGTTTCTGGGATGTACACGCACACGTGCGCGCGCGTGCACACAGACACACGCTCAAGCACTCACACGTCATCACATTTCTGTACTTGTGCACATGTACACGTGCGCAGATGCTGCCTGTGACGCCGAGTGCCGCGGAATTCAAGCGGTTTGAAGAGTTCACCACCAACAGTGACGGCAGCGGTGTTGATGATGATGGCGACGACGGTGACTGGTACAACAGCGCCGATAGTGACAGTCACGTCACCTTCCTCGTCTCCGTTCTCGGTGCCACAAGCCTGAGCAGAGCCGCTGCTGCTGTTGTGTCTGTACTTGAGGAGGAGTTGGAGGCGGCCGGCAGCACGTGTGACATGCCGGGCCCTTACGCCAGCGAATGGGTGCGTGTGTGTGTGTGTGTGTGTGTCTGTCTGTCTGTCTGTCTGTCTGTCTGTCTGTCTGTCTATTGCGCTGTGCTGTGCCAATGTGCTCTCGCATGGCTGTGTGTGAGTGCGTGCGTCTGTATGCCTGTACGTTTGTCTCTCTGTGTGTCTATCTCAGCATGCATTTGTGCGCGACATGCGCTGCTAACCACCGCTTGCGTATTTGCAGAGCGTTCAAGCGGTGCTGGCCGACATGGAGGATCGCCTCCTCAATTGCGTCATCACGCTGTCCACGTGAGTCAATCCATTGCACACATGAACGTGGACGTGGGCGTGTACGTGCACGTTTTAATGTGCAAGTGTCTTTGTGCGCGTTTTGTTGTTGCGTTGATCGCTTTGTGTCATTCTTTCTGTGTGCATGTGTGCACATTGCCACGCCTTCTTACACCAGCGCATCTCCCCTGCACTGCTGTGTTGTGGTTCAGGTCTGTCAACCACCTGTGCAGTCACGTCTTCTCGTCGCAGCCAAAACACCGCCACCACCGCAGCTTACAGTACTCCACGCCCATGTCTGACAGCAACATGCCTGGCCTCATCAACAGCCTCTGGTCCCTCTCTTTCTCTGCATGGCGCGCTCTCGTCAAGACATTTCCACGTGCGTGCACACACATGTGCTTTTGTCTGTGTGCTTGATGCTTGTTTGTAACTTGTGAGCGTGCTTCTTGAAAGGGAGGTTGTTTGTGTGTTTGTGTGTTTGTGTGTGTGTGTGTGTGTGTGTGCGTGTGTGTGTGAGCTTCTGTTGCGTTTCCTCTTTGACGCCCCACTCATTCATTCACACACTTGCGCACGCGCATACGCGTGTTCCTCTGCCTTGCACCGCTTTGCCAGGCGCCAGGCTTGAGAACGGGCTGCCGCTCACGCTCATCAACTTTGAGGTGTATGTGCGCAAGAAGAACACATCGTCGATGCGCTGGGGTGTTCCGCGCATGCTGCTGGACGAGGTAATGTTGACATTGATGGCGGTGGTGGAGTACTTTGCTTGTGACTGCATGACGATGTGCTTGGTTGTCTCATCAATAGCTGTACCCATCATCGCAACACTCGAATGCAACACATACAAGTGCAGACCTCAGATATCCTCCCGCCCTGACCGAAAATAACACACACACACACACACACACACACACACACACACACACACACACACACACACACACACACACACACACACACACACACACACACACACACACACACACACACACAAATAGGGGCTTGAGTTTATGAAGTTGGTGCTTGACGAACCGGTCCTGTCGGCGCTTTCGCCGCAGCTCTTCACAAAAGTCGAGGAGGCCGCAACGCGACTGGTCAACATCAAGACGAAGGCAGCAAGTACGCCCAGTTGCACCCTGGTGTATACGTGCGTGCGTGTGTGTGTGTGTGTGTTGGGAGGTGTGCCTGCTCCATCTTCCTGCAATGCTTGCGCCAGTGCTGTGTGTTCTCATCACCACTCCACTCCATCCCATGCCCGCACTTGTCCGTTCGTCTTCGGTGCTAGAGAGTGCACCAATCAATGCCGTCGTTGCTGTTCCGACAAATCCGCAGGCGGCAACAGCACAGCGGAGGCCCGCTGCCACGTGTGAGGAGATTGATCGCCACCTGGCGAAGGTGATGCTTGTAATCATAACATCATGCATTCATGCAGTGTTATTGCTCACAATTATGTACCAATATTGCAGCGCCACCGCCTTCAGCATGCTCACACACACACACACACACTCGCACACTCACACATTCACTCACTCACACACACACGCGCGCACACACACACGCACACACGCACGCACAACACACACGAACCACCGATAATTAGGGGTTTGCCTTCAGCTGCCAGGGGCGGCAGCGGATGCAGCTGCGAGACCGAGCGCTTGTTGGACAGGAAGTGCACGCGGCTGATGCACAGGGCGTGCGCGATGGTGAGATGGAGCGGAGGGGAAGAAACAGCGAAACATTGGATGAGGCGATGGTGGTGTGGGGGCGTGGCTGTGGGCTGTGTGTGTGTGTGTGTGTGTGTGTGTGTGTAACAGGCTGTTTGATGCTCACAAACGATTGCGGATTACGGTGCGCTGTACCCGTGCTATATATTGTGCATGTGTTTGTGTTGATGTGTGTCCGCGCGTGTTGGTTCACTTGGTCGTCTTCCTGTGTACGCGTGTCTGTCTCTGCCAACAGGCCGGCACCACGCCATTGAGGGCTCCACATTTCACGATCCGTGGATCCAGGTCGCTGTTCTTCGCGGCGCCAGAATTCGCGATATTGGGTTCGCTCATTGCTTGCACTCATTGCTTGCACTCATTGCTTGCACTCATTCCTCGTGAGATGTTGTTTGTGGGTGCGGTGTTCGTTCACTGTGCCGGGCGTCATCTCCTTGCCTTGGCGAACATGCCCAATCTCATCCTCCTAACATTTCTGTGCACTTTCTCCCGTCACCGCGTTCATTGCTGACAGATGTGGAGCATTTGGACGCGTTGTTGTGGCGAAGAATCTCACGACCAATCGCCCAATGGCCGTCAAAGAAGTTATGCTCGTGAGTACACAACACATGGCCGTGGTGGTGGTGACCGTGGTGGTGGTGGTGGTGGTGGTGGTGGTGGTGGTGGTGGTGATGGCGGCGGCGGTGGTGGTCTCTGCAGTCCACTGAAATTACAACATCATCATTGCTCTTCAACCACTGATTCAATTTCTCGCCCCCTCACAACAACAACAACAACAACAACAACAACAACAACAACAACAACAACAACAACAACAACAACAACAACAACAACAACAACAACAACAACAACAACAACGCCTTGTCCACAGTCGAACGCGCGACCGAATGAGTGGCTGCTGACACGCGATCTGCGACACGAGAATGTTGTGCGCGTGTACGGTGCACAGCTGTTCCCAAACCATCACTACGACGTGTTCATGGAGTACATTCGTGGCGGAACGCTGCGCCAGCTGCTCGTCGAGGTGGACGCCCTTCACATCATGGATACGCGCAGGCACGGCACGCATGTGCGGGCGTGTGTGTGTGTGTGTTGTGTGTATGTGTGTATGTGTGTGTAATGTGTGTATGTGTGCGTATATGTGTATGTGTGTATATGCATGTGTGTATGTGTGTGTATGCATGTGTGTCTGTCTGTCCGTCTTGCTCGTCGTTGTTTAAGTCCATGTTCACATGAGCGGATGCGTGTTTTCAGTGCTCCATTTCCCGCTCTAACCTTCCCTCTTCGTCCTGTCCTTACACTCCCCACCCCCTCTCCACCTTCGCTTCATCGCGCCCAACAGGTTCACTGCGCAGCTGACACGCGGTGTGCGGTATCTCCACGACCACGACATTGCACATCGCGACCTCAAGCCAGGCAACCTCCTCCTGACGCAACACAACACCGTCAAGGTCGGCGGGGCTGTGTTCTTCCATCCTTCCACCCTTCCTTCCTTTGATGCTTGTGCACGTTGCGGTTTCAACAGTCGAGAGCATATTGGTCAACACGACTACATGTCTATATCCCAGTCTCACATATGCATACACGCATGTGCCCCTGCCATCCTTTGTGCTCGCCCTGCTTCAGATCTGCGACTTTGGACAGTGCATATCTGTGCATGAACCGCTGACACAGAACGATGTGCAATTCGGCACTTTTGCGTGAGTGAACGATGTTTGTGGTGGCGAAGTAATGACACTTGTGCATCCTCTTCCTGTATGCATGTCCCGCATCTTTCACACACACACACACACACACGCACGCACGCACACGCACACGCACACGCACACGCACACACGCACCCGCACGCACACACACAACGCCGCCAACAGGTATCAATCGCCGGAGTTTGGGTCGCTTGAGCAAATCCGCGCACACCCGACGAAGACGGACATCTGGGCAATCGGCTGCTGTGTGCTCGATATGCTCAACACGCCCGTGTACCCGGGCCAGAACTACCAGCACCTCGGCACCATCTACCGTCTTAAGCTGGGCGACCTGTACGTGTTTTGCTGCTGCTGGTTTTTTTTTTTTTTTTTGTTCGCTCTGCACGCCATGGAAATGCTTGTATTTTTCCTATGTGTTTCTTGCTTGGCGCTGTTGCAGCAAGAGCATCACACCCTCCTCACCACCGTCACACACACACACACACACACGCACACACACACGCACGCACACACACACACACGTTTCCACAACTGCCTTCCCTGTTTGCGCGCCATGCGTGCTTCAGCCGCCCCAACATGCCCAACAATGCGGATGCAACAACAGGGGATTTTCTCCGCCAATGCTTCATCGCTGATGCTGCACAACGTGCAACCGCTGCTGATCTTCTTCGCCACGCCTTCCTGCGCGATGCCTGAGCCCTCGACGTGTGTGTGTGTGTGTGTGTGTGTGTGTGTGTGTGTGCGTGTGTGTGTGTGTGTGTGTGTGTCTGTCTGTTTTTGTTCAGCACCATCCAATGCAACCCTGGTGTCATCTTTTCCTTTTCATTTCTTCACGTCATCTTCGTCCATGCCATCAATGGCTTTGGTTTGCCTCATTTACTCTCTTTCTCTCTGTTAATAACGGACGCTACGAGTACAATACAATTACATGCAGCTACGTGATGTCAATCACAATCGACAACCAAGGCAAGGTAACACAAGCAAAGAAACAAAGCACGAAGACAAACGACCAAGCAAACCATGCACACACCTGGACTACTTCAACTACAAGCTAAACAGAGACACTTGAGAGAAGCCGCTACGTTGAATTGGTCGATGATGACGATGCTGCTGGCTGGTTCAATAGCGTGACTTTTGTAGGTGACACCTGCAGAGCCAAAGGAAGAAGGTGAAGCCATGAGAGTCAAACTTCAAATGTGTAAATGCATGTATGCGCGCACAGGTGTTTGCCTGCTGTGCAGACCTTCTCCCTTTTGTTGAATTTGATCCTCACACAGACACACTTACACTTACACTTACACTTACACTTACACTTACACTTACACACTCTCTCTCTCACGCGCACACACACACACACATTTGCGCGTTTCAGCGCCACTCACTCACTCACCAAGACGCCATGCTTGGGACGGCACGAAAAGTATTGAAAGTCGGCCACGGTGCCGTTGTTGAGACCAATGGGGCGATCCAACTCAACACCGCAGCGCGGGCCAGGTTTGATCTGCGATTGCCAACAAGTGAATGCAGAAAGGAGAGAAGTGGAGGGGAGAGTTGTGGTGTGATAAAAGTATGCAGGCACGCGGTGGCTTGTGAGGGGGCGATGGACACACATGACAAGAACCCTGGCTGAGGCAACTGTGAGTGCACAAACAGTGAAGCTGGAACTCGCTGAGGACGCAACAGCGCTGACTGATTGCTCTCTTGCTTTGCTTGCAGGCAAGCAAGACAAGACAAGACACATGGAACACACAGAACACCGAGGAGGAAATGTGCACAAGAGAGACATTGCACATCAACACGCACCGCATGTGGGCCATAGAAACGAAGCGTGCCCTCGCCATATCCCGTGACAGTCACACGTGATCCTTCCCTGCCGATGAACTGGGGGTAGGACGGGCCGTCCCTAGTGTGCACGCGTTAAGGATTTGCAGTGAAAATGATGCAGACAGAATCACAGGAATGAGAAACAAAATTAAGAAATGAATGTGTGTATGTCTCTGTGCGTATGTTTGTATGTGTGTGTATGTTTGAGTATGTGTGTGCACGCGCGCGGGAGAAAAGCGACAGCAACTGCAGTGACAACCATCTTACACACGCACACGCGCGCGGAAACTCGACAACGTACTCGTGCAGTCTGAGCATGTGTCTGCTGTCTTCATGCACTTCCATCTCGCGGCACTTGTACATGTTGAGCTCCTTGCGAATGGCAGCCTGTGTGTGTGTGTGTGTGTGTGTGTGTGTGTGTGTGTGTGTGTGTGTGTGTGTGTGTGTGTGTGTGTGTGTGTGTGTGTGTGTGTGTGTGTGTGTGTGTGTTTGCGGTGGGTGAATGAGAGTGCATGAGCAGGTTGTTCCTGGTCCAGCAATTTCAGGCATGGACACATGACCGGTCACAGCACATGACGCAAGCGTCACACAATAACGGCAGCTGTCAACTGGTGAATTCGCACCTTTTCCTCTCTTGTCAGCCGTGTCCAGGTTGGATCAGCCCTGATAGGTGGTGACATGGAATGCGTTGAGCGCGTGGGAGGAATACGCAAAGTTGCAAAGTCGCAAAGTCCAAATACACGAATACAGGCACGCACGCACACACACGCACATGTTTGCACGTGTAGGCATTCGCATACGCACGCGCATATTCAACAAACATGCTCTTCACACTCTATAAAGCTTACTGCCGATCGTGCGAAGAAATGCCGTCGACAACGGTGACTTGCGGCGTCGTGTTGAACTTGAGCAGAATCCTGCGCTCAATCAACTCAGAGACGGAAGCACGCTGTGCAAGCTGTTCAAGGGTGATGATGGGAGGGGACGAGGACGACGAGGAGGACAACGAGGAGGGCAAGGAGAGAAAGTGGGCAGTAATTATTGTGAGTGAGCAGGTGACCGATGCAACAGGCACTCTGACACGAGGCTCTCGTGCACAATACATTGCACCACCCCCACAACAACAACAACACCGATACAGCAACACAAGCCAAAGGCACGACTCAACGATAACTAATACACCAACAGCAACACCACACAGCACAACAACAGCAACAGAGGAGTTGACAGGAAACGCCCAGCACCTTGCGCTCGAGCGTGTTCATGACGACTTGCTTTGAAGCCGTCTGCTCGTATGTCTCCGTGCGCACGTGCCGTGTGCCGGCCTGGTCACGGAAACTGAGCCGGCGCTTCCTGCGTGTGGACCGTCTTCGCCGCCGTGTTGCTCTGCGCACAGGGCCATCGTCACCACCACTGCCATCACCGCCGTCATCACCGGTTGTGCTCTCTTGTCCCACTATTCCTTCCTCCGTCTCAACATCTTCCTCCTCTGTGATGGTCATCATCCCTGTGCTGTCGCCACCTGCAATAGTTGTCCGTCCTTCCGCGGCCTCGCGCGCAACTTCGCGCCGGAATTGGCGAATCCTAGACACGGAATCCTGCAGCACGGTGTGCGTGAGCGTGTGATAGGGTGTGTGTGTGTATGTGAGTGTGTACGTGAGTGTGTGCGTTAGTGTGCGTTAGTGTGCGTGTTTGTGCGTGTATGTTGGCGTGCATGTGTGAATGTGTGTCCGTGTGCATGTGTGTGTGTGTGTATGTCACGTGATGCAGCGCAAAGGCACCGTGCAGGGTATCAGCTTGTTGTGCAGTTTGCTTGCAAGCAAGCACCCATGAAACACGCCAGGTGCTTACCCTTCGACGCAGACGCGTTCCACGCTTCAGTATGCTTTTCAGTTTCTGAATGCAGGTCGATAACGTCACGGAAGCAGAACGTGAATCAGGCACGGAGGACAGCGTGAGGACACAATCACAGGCACATCGCTGGTGGGCATAAGCACTCCCAAAAAGGCAAGATGAACAAAACGAACCAGAGTAACACACCCACATTCACACACACACACACACACACACACACACACACACACACACACACACACACACACACAAAAGCAAGCACACACAAAAGCAAGCACACACACACACATGAACACATGAACACAGGAGCATGAAACAAGTACACTCACGCGCTGCTGGCCGTCGACGGTGACGAGAAAGACGGGCTGGCTCGAGTCATCATCTGGAGCCGCATTGCCCTCCACAGCGTTGACCCAGTCCATCCACTTTGTGAACTGCTTGGCAGATGGTGGCCGGGATGTGTCACTGGACATGCTGTCCACCTTCTTCTGGAAGCGGATGGTGCTCCCCCTGCGCACCAACGAGCGCACGCCCTCTGAAGTTTCCTCAAGCAACTCGCTCTCACGCCGCCGCAGTGAGAGGTGGGTTTGCGAACCTCCTGTTGTGCATTGTCGCGCATGGCAAGCGTGAGAAGACCGAAGCAAGAGGACGCCACGACGTGTCACTGTCAGGGGCAAGAGTTGCAACACAGCCCTGGCTACACCACAACGGAGAGTGTGCAGACGCGCTCACACTCGCACATGTATGCGGGTACTGGGATCGTGG